ACGCCAAATTCAACCATTCCTCTGTCTTGTTTATTTGAATGGCCTCAGTCAAACATCGGTAGCCAACCAGAGACATGGACTAATGAGAAGTCCTATGTAAAAAGAATCGGAGCCAGATTGAATTACTCCAATAGACGGTGTCTGACGGGAGCCTCTGTTGTGATTGGTTAGTGGACGATGCATTTACTCGTGTTCTTCAGTCTTAGAGATGGTTTTCCTTATAGGGTTGGCTGAGCTCTGCGTGATTCAATATGGCTGCTCCCCAAGTTGGCGATGCGTCAACATTGTTACTTCAAGTGCTCCACGGTATTTCCGGTAATCTCAAGGTTTTTATTTGTAGATGGAAAAAAGCACACAATTCAGCTTCCTAATGACACCAATGTTACGGTGGGTGATGTGATGGAGGAAATCTCCTCTGAACTACATATTCCTGCTTCTAAGCAGAGGCTTATCTACAGAGGCAGATCATTAATTGATGTTAATGCACATCTATCTTCTTGTAATATCAAATATGGTTCGAAACTGATGCTTATTGGTACAGTAAGTATACTAAATTGTTTGCTTCACGTGTTGTTTATTAGGTGGAGTTCGCTGAACCGCATGAAGTTATGAAGTTAGACGAGTTAGAAGTTACCCTTGATACTTTAAAGTCCCATCTTTCCTCACTCGAAGCGGTAGGTTATGACACGCTTATATGTCTATGCGTATCAAATTCATTCTGGAAATAGCGTTTTCAATTTTACGTCAGTAGTTTCAATGTGCGATGTTTTATTTTGATTACCCTGCTGTAAGTTTTGGTTTAATAACTACTGAACAGGGTGCTATTCGTATTTTCCTTCATTTGGCTTCGTTTTTAACGCTTGAAAATGCAGTGTCGGTAACATAACCCTAACTGGCTTAAATGTATCCCCAGTGGATCCTTAATGCTTTATATTGAAGTGTAAGGTAGTCGCATTTTTATGTGGAAATGGGTGGAATTTTCGGCTCGAAATATGCCAGTTTTTGACTAAAGTTTGATTTATTTGTGATTACTGAAACTTAGTCGAGCTCAATGTGTTCTGTTTTGTTGCGTTATTACACTTCTGGCTGGAGAATGCTTAGACGGTTTTAGGACACGTAATCGGTGGAATCATATTTCCTTTTTCCACATTGTCTCATAGTCAGTAAGTGAATATTTTTCCTAACATGCTGAATATTTGATGTTATTTATTTATTTGACTGAACGATAAGTTTAAGATGAGGTATATCTTGAGTGTCACTCCCACAATACACTTGAGCACTCACTGTTCCTCGTTTAAAAGCAGTCTTAGTAGCACTTTGTGACCGTCGTGTTTCTTTTACAACGGTGCTTCAATTGTATTATATCATATTGGATATCCGATTTCCAATTGTATTTCTTACATTAATGAACCTTCAGGCTTCCATAACAAGTGGGAACTCGAAAGACCACATCAACAGTATCCTGAGCTTTATAGAATCTTGTATGAAGGGACTAGAAAAAGCAGATTCAGTTCATCTACCAGCTGATGATGGTAAACAGCGCAGAAGACGGAAAGTACTAGTTGATTCATTTCAGGTAATGCACAGCGAGTGTGAGCTAATTAATTGTTTTAGTTCTGTTGTGTCGCGAATGGTTGTAATGTAAGACAGTTTAATTTCACATTTTCTCCTTTAATTGATTGATATGTTGTTGTTATTTACCTGGAAATTGACTCTGTTCTGTCCCTTGTGCATGTTTAATCGGAATGTATATATTAGCTCGTAATACCATGCAGTTTCTTGAAGGTCAACGGTGTAACTTGCAACAGTTTATGCATTCATCTCCCGATATGATTATTTTTCAACAAATCCATATAACGCATTGATAAATATCGGACCTTTTAGGAACTTAGACTAAACAGACCCATGTTTGAGTGCTTTCTTCCGCTCGCTAAAAGTCATTGAGAAAATTAGTTATGCTGTATTGTCTAGTAATAGGTTTGTAGTTACGTATAGAACCACAACAAGTTGGCACAAAACGTATAATATCTTGGGTACTGACTAGACGCTTACTTGTGATACACTTATGTATGTTGTAGACGTGAATTTTTGACCTTATGTCTGATATAGTCACAGTAGTCGACGTGCTCTTATTTGTTTCGTAAATGGTTTGCTTGTAGGAACTCATTTTGGTAGCCGAAAAACTTCAGACCGAAATCAACAAAATTTCGACAACGTCGTCAATACCTGATGGGAAGAAATGAATTAATTTCCATGTTCCTGTGCTTGTGAATCCTATTTAATGGGTTCTATGTATTAATTTAGAATAATGACGTTTTGGCCAACCATTTCGAAGTTGTTATTAATGGCTTACACAAAGCAAGATTGTGTTCTAGACCTCGTACGTAGGGGTCTGTTGCTAGGCTTTTTGTAAACTTAGTACTCACACTTTTCTACCCATGGAAAAATCGTATTTCTAAAAACCCATTAATGTCTTGTGTTGATCAAAATATTTTTTTAGTTGGGTAATCCCGTACATCGAGAAACTAAGTGTGATGTGCAACATTCCCTGAATTCGATGCAAGGTTACTTGTAGTAAACCCTTTTACCATTACACAGGGAAAGATTACTGTATTGATTTTTGTGTGCACTCATGACAGATCTTGAATGCAGAAGTTTATTTGCCGCATGTTAGGATCTTCTCATGAACTGAAAGTAATCTGGTTGGGATCCGATTTGGAATTAAAGTGCTGTAAATCGTCTTAAGTAAGTTACTGATGCAGCCTGCTTCAAATATAGGCAATTTAACATTCGTTAATTCTTCCATTCTCTGGTCTACTTTTTCGAAAACGTACCGACGTGCAACAGCCCCCCTCCTGCCATAAGAACTCAGTTAATGTCTCGTCCTGCTAATTTTCGACAACTTGACTAATGTAGGCGTAACCTTTCTTCAATTAAAGCTAGTTTTATCTGGTTTTCTAATTTATCAGCAAATATTGGTCTCTAAGAGTTAACTGGCTGACATTCCTGTTGAATCAACGTGAATTAATGGTCATTTCCTCCGGTAACTATGAGCAAAACCACTTAACAAGTTCTTACGAGTCTTCTTTGACTTAACTACAACACAATGACGCAATTAATATGGTTTGCATCTAGTTCTGCTGTTGTTTATGCGATTTTTCAAGATTTGCTTCGTATAACATGATCACTATATACAGGCCCACGCTGAGTGAAGACTTTTGACACTTGCGTCAGTTTTCAACTTCCTATTGATGTGCACTTCGTAATAATTGTTCTCCCTCTTTTTTTTTATATATAAATACTGTCCTTTTTTTGTTTTTTGAACGTACTGTCTTTGCATCGAATTAGTCGCACCTAGGTTTTAAATGCGCCAGGTTCTTTAACTATTAGAGTGCTGATTAGGGTTGTTTCTTCCTTCCATTTATAGTAGATAGTTGTGCTTTTGTGCCTTAAAGGTGTTGTCGTAGCTGAACGGAAGTTTTTTTGGCTGCAAGATATAAAAAGTAACACAGCCATAGTAAAATAGCCTAGTATAGGTGAGGCAACGTATTTCATGTCGATAATCGACTGAGTTGCACTATGTGTGAACCAAACAAATAATTACTGTACTCAGTACAAGTGTATTCAGGTGAGTAATTTGTTGTGCTAAAGTGTAAAGGTAAAACCTTCCATATTTTTGTGCAACACTCACTGTTATGATTAGAAGTATTACTTTTCCACCCTAGCACTTTTTCACGTAAATATTGTTTTTTGCAACGCGAATACACTTCAGGGCAGCAATTAAATGAGGAGAAGTATGGTATGGTAGGGATAGCCATTGCTCGGTTTTGTCATTCTGGAATAGTAAATGGTGGAAATCCCGACCTGTTCTTTAGAAAGATCTGGCAGTAATTTGCGAATGCTGTTACCCCGGATATTCTAATTCTTGGCCAATTGAGTATGCTTCATGGTGCTTTAGTAAAACAATTTCATGTATCGTAAAGAAAAATTCGTTGTGGCTGTGAACAAAGTATTCATTTTCCAATGTGTGTTTTTCTAATTTTGTTTGGATACACGAGTTAATTTCAGCTTCAAAGGGTCAGCTGTTCGTGATTATTAATACCCAAATGTCTGTCCAGTAAATGCGGGGAATTGTCGTTTCATTCAAACTGTAAATAAGGTAGACAGTTTCTTCAGAACATAAACACCTTTATGTGCGTATTTAATGTAACAGCCCATCTTGAAATCTACTAGAGGTATAGATAATCCTAAACATAAACGTATGCTTCTAAATTCAGCTGCGTGTGTATTTGAGAAAATACATGGATTTGAATATGTGAATATGAAAACGTTGATTGAGCATCTGTATGTGTGCTAAATGGAGACTAAATGACAGCAGGTCGCTTTTATCCGTTTTCGGTGACTTGGTGCAGATCCGGAAACTTTGGTCGTTCACTCAAGTTCTCAAATACGTATGTGGCAGTTTTAATTAACAAAAGTTTATTGAAAAGTGGCAGTTAGTTCGCATTTACTGCAAACCCATTGACCACTGAGTGTGTGGTCTCGTTGTGTTAGGATAACCGTGGTTCGAGAGCTCCTGAGATTCTTGAAACATACAGAGCCTCTGTTTTAGTAGAAGTAATACCTGCCTACTGTTGTTCACACATTGAATTCAAAAAGGTAGCTGCACGAACCTGTCCAGATGTACTGACATTAAGAGGGCGACTGTTTTGCTGTCTTACGACATGACCTCCAATAGGATAAGCGGATTGTGTCATGAAAGACCCCTTACTAGGAGGTTGATCCAGGCATCTTCTCTGTTAAACGGTGCATTTGTGTTACGAGCGAGATTTCAACCTCATGTCCAAACAAAGCAGGATGCATTGCGGGACCTGCAGGGCAACTGACGTTAGATGTTGACAAATCAAATGGACTGTGGAATATGAAACGATTTACTACAGATAGCTGAGGTCGTGACATTTGGATAGAATACACAGGGGGGGAACGGTGTGGAGTGTTAGTCAGTCCCAACGAGACCTCCTTCGCTTGACTTCAGGTGCCGAGGGAGTCTCGGGGGTCTGGGGAACTCGAAAGTCAGAGGAGTCGCCGCTCACTTCTGAGGTTTTGTTCGAAGCACCGAGGAGTTCGGGGTGGGTGTACTTAGTTGACTCGACACCAGCCGAGACGAATCGGCGATTGTATTGTGACGCAAACGCCGCCTTCATCGCCGCTAGGCGATCGGTTTGGTGAGCTATAAGTGTCAAGTAAGCATCAAGTTACAAGCGACGGCAATACTGTTTATTTTGTACAATTGATTTTGCCGCATCGTGGGGGTTAAAACTGGGTAATTGAACTGTGCGGATGTGAATATTCGTAGAACATACGTCTAAATCAAAAGCTTCACATGCTGACATAGGCTAGATTACGCGCAGTCCTATCTACTTCAGCCGAGAGAAAAAGGCGCCACACGCTTAGGTTTCAAAGAGAGTACTCGTACCACTAGATGCCGCGACCGTGGCCGGACCACCCATGGGTTGAGTGGAGCTGTGGAAACCAGAATAGCTAGACCCCAGACCGACACGAAGATCCTTCTTTTCCCTCGGTTGAAATCCGATGCCAGCGCGAGGGTTAGCCTCGGTTCCAGCTGCCCTCGCCCTATTTTCCACAAACCACGGACACTTGTTAGCAATCTCGAACAACCGAGGAGGCACCGTCTGGCTGGATAGTTCCAGATGGCGTACCAGGTGGGCAGCGAAGTCTGGAGGATCTCGATTTGCCACAAATAAGGTGTAGGCGGTGCCCTTCACACCTGCACGGCCTGTTCGCCCGACTCGATGGGTGTGAGTATCAATGTCACGAGCCACCTCATAATTCACCACATTGTGAATGCTGGGAATATCAAGACCACGAGCTAAATGAGATTTAAAAAAGGAATTATTGGGATTATTACACACAAATCGAACAAGGCCATATTAATTGTGTTGGATGGTAATGACCACTCTCACAGTCCACCGCTCAGCCAAATGCCTTAAAGTCAAAACTTACGGAGGCCAAGATACAAGAGTAGCTGTGACCTATAGACCAACAATTCGTCCGTTGTTTTTTTTTTCTAGTGTAAGATAGTTTTAGGCAAGTCAATTATTAATTTTAGTGGAGTTGTTTAAACGATGACTGTTCTAGTATGGCAAATCCGTTATAGGTTGTGAGGAAATGACTTGAGATGCTTTTGACAAGGGACACACTCCAAGTACAATAATAACTCACAGGCGACGTCGGTGGCAACAAGGATGGGAGCTTCGTGATGTTTAAACTTGTGTATGACGGTGTTGCGCTCCGACTGATGCATGTCGCCATGAAGAAGGAGGACTTTCAGGTCACGTCCCTTGAGCTTCTCGGCTACCTCGACGGAATGAGCCTTCCGCGTCACAAAAATGAGGACACTGCCCTCTGCAAATAGAGGGTGCAAAAGTGTAAGGAGAAAGTAAATGACAGACCTGACTCTCTCGAATTAGAAAAGAAGCTAGAGCACTCATCGGTCAGAATCCGTAGACCTCCAAAGCGCACACGCACTGGGTTGACTTAGGAAGACCTAGCTAATAAGCACATTGAATGCGCGGGACGAGATCGCTCTGTTGCAATATTGTTATCGTGAAGAGCCTACCGTGTTTAGAGGAGGATGCTAAATAAATCAGAATGAAGTTATACTGGATAAAAATGAGGTGTCGTCTTTGTACCTTCAAATGCGATTAAAAAATCATAAAGCGACTTCCACCATACATGTCAACCATTGTACACAGCCCAAAACGAGACAAAGCAAAGCACTGCAAGTCAAGTCATACAGAACGAGGGGCCTGCTTGCTCAAACAAAATTGACAACATTGACCGTGAACAGACGAAACTGATGGACTGTTCGACTGACTGGATGATTGATAATCTTGACACATTTACAAACCTGCCGTAAAACGGACTATATTTCTTGTTAGCCAGTCCCACTTTTCTTCCCATCTGTTGAAAATCTCAACGATTTGGGTGATGTCTTCATTAGCCTTAAAAAAAAACAATAATAGAGGAGCTAAGTTAGATAGTTATGGGCAACTTGTGTAGCTTCATACCATCAGATTGGCGAAACACAAAAAAAGCCTAACCGATACATAATTCATGCGATATTTTCTCTTTAGCTAAAATTTCAGATAAATGACGGACCACTAGCTGTGCAGACCGAGACCTAGAATTAGGCTGAACTAAGCGGTTCTTGGACTTTGTTCAGTAACAATTCAGACTAAACAGATCAGATTTTTACATCCACCTGCATGATGAGTGCAACATTTCATTTTGTTAGAAAGGGAGTGGTATTAAAATTTACTACTCAGTGTGATCCGACACCAATGCATTACTAGTATTTGTTGATATCGGACTCCAACAATTACACAGAATGAATTCAAGGAATTGCGACCTCAAAAGACGAATTGTCGTAAAATTAGAAATCCAAATAGTGGCGAAATACGTTTCAGAATGATTGAGCATTACCTCTCCAACCTCTCCTTGAACGATCCGAATAGGATCTGTTAGGATGTCACGTGCCAGGCGCTCGATTCGTCCCTTAAAGGTTGCGCTGAAGAGCAGTGCTGGGGAAAATTCAAAGTAGTGTTAGAAATTTGGGGTAGCGATAGATTTAATGTTTCTGTAACTGATGCTGAAATTTTACCCTGTCTATCTGGACGAACGTGGTCTGCGATTGATCGCACCTGCGGTTCTAAAATTATGTAGAAAATGCAAAAGTGAAAAGTTACGAATCAAAAGATGAGTTAGAAATAATGAATCAATGGCGGTCTGTGAGGACTCCAAAGTGCATTTAATCAGAAAAGATCTATTCTGAAAGTGACGACAAATTAAAGCACATTTAATAACTTTACGCATTGCATAGTAACCTCAAAGCAAATCGGCAGATAACATAACACTTACCAAATCCCAAATTAAACATTTTGTCGGCCTCGTCGAAGACAAGAAATGTCACACGGCGGAGGTTGGTAGATTTCTTTTTAACTAGGTCGATCAACCGACCCTTGACGAGGGATAAAACATAAGTCAAGGGACTATTTTGCAAAATGTGAACTTAGACGTTGATTAACAATATTGCATTGATGGGTGGCAAAAGTTGCAAAGGATAAAATTTGACGATAAACTTAGGAGATGTGGTAGAAGTTGCCGGCGAGCACGGGTCAAGACATAAAAGATCAAGGAGTGCTCTCAAATATCCAAACGGTGTAGCCAAATATAAACTTACGTAACAGTTTTGCAGACTCATTGAACGTGATCACAGGTTAATATAAATGGAAACTAACCGGTGTGCAGACAAGAATTTCGCAACCGGCTTCGCATGCTTTTTGTTGTTCCCACATACTACCACCACCGTATGCACAGACAACACTAAGGTTGTATATTTTGGTCAACTTCTTGGCTTCGGAGTAGATCTGAAGAGCAAGCTCACGTGTCGGTACGCAGATGATGCCAATCGGGCCATCACCTAACTTCAGTTCATGCTAAAACAACCAGAAAATTAATCTAATAATGTATGTCCTTGTTGCCATGGCAATAACTTTTAATCTGACGGATTTGTGTTAATTACCTAATTTTCAAATGCTAATCGCAGTTACTTAGAAACCAATACTTTATTTATACAAGCATCCAATCCTTAGAGGCAGTTGCAATCGGTTTTAGGAGAGTGGGTAATTACGAAATAGAAGCGGCAAAAAGAACCACCGATTGATTTGATTTGCCGATGTAAAAAGACGTGATCTCACACACATTCATTAATGCATTTTGTAGTGAAAACCAAAGGAAAACCTAACCTTTAGTTATAGAATTCTATACACGAACTAATACTTGACCTATTGTAGCTGTTGTGAAGTGTATGTAATGAACGGAGATACTAGGTGAACATACTATAATGGCAAAAACACGGGTCGGCCGTTACCTGTGCCATGATGTGGGTTATCATGGGCCACAAAAAGGCCACTGTTTTACCACTGCCCGTCTTCGCAATGCCGACAATATCTCTTCCAGCTAGGGCCGCCGGAACTGCCGCTGCTTGTATTGGCATTGGCTGAGTGTACCCGGCTTTCCTTATTGCCTCCATCAGGGCATTGTCCAGATTTAAATGCGCGAAAGAGCAGACGGGCCGAGGAGGGGAGACGCCGCTTAGACGAATGTTTAACTTTTTAAGTAGCTCAACGACGCCAGTTTCACTAAGGGCTGAAATATCCGGGTGCTCTACGTAAAAGTTCTTAGTGAATTTAGCGTAGTTAACGAGTGAGTGGTCGACTGGAGGCAGTGGGTCTATCGTCTAGAGAAAGAAAGGAGATTTATATGGTTGATCTTGTGATGAGGGGCGGCGACAGCTAAGAATACGTAGTGTAACATATCCAAATGCTATTATATACACAAACTTCATAAGAGACTCTTCCCGGAGCTGAGTAATAAGCATGATGCGAGGATAAAGAAAGTTAGTAGATTGGTAATACCTTCTTCTCGGTAGCAATAATATTTCCTTCAGCATCATATTCGTAAATTTCCTCCTCATCCCCAACGAGGCCCACAGTGGGATTTTCCTCCATGAAGCGAAGATAGGCCTCCATTTCGTCTTCCTGTTCAATATCGTCACGAACGTTCCTAAACCACATACCATTTAATAAAAGGTAAGCGGCCATCACATTAGACTGCAGAGCGAAATAACCAAACTCACTTTTTGGATTTTCTGCCGTCTTCATTTTTCTTTTTCTTGTTATCACTAGAATTCAGTTCCTCCACTTGTTGCTTAAGAAAATAAAAGCGGTGATGGGGTTAATTAAAAAAATATAGAAAAATGATAGACAGGACCTACCTCAATGCCTTCCATGAATTTGTCCAACGGATCATCAGAATCATCAGAGATAGCCCCCTTATCCTCTTGTTCGCAGGCACCACCATGACCAGATTGGGCGGCAGGGCTCCCGGGTGCTGGCAAATACTCTAACTCATCATCCTTCTCCGCTTCGTCGTCGTTAAAGTAGCTTAATTAGAAAATATTTTTTGTGCATTACACAAAACGGCAATGCTAAAAACTGTCTTAGGATCTTCTGTATTTGTCAACGGGATCAGGAATATTGAACCAGGAGAGATGTTCATGAGTAAAAGTGGTGTTTCAACAAAAAATACTAGACTCCTATGAGTCATGAGCACACAATTAAATACGCATGGAACACTTTGACCAGGTATATCTAGAAATAAGTCATGGAACTTCAAGACTGTGTAGTTAGAAGTGGGATCATGCCTTCTTGACAGTAAATATATGAACTCGGATACTTTTGGCAATCGCGTACTCGGAGGCCAAGCAAATTATAAGGACGGTAAATCAACACTTACTCATCGTCATCATGCATGCGTCGTTTCCCCAGGTTTGAAAAGGCTCGAGAATTACCACTGCTACCGGTGGGGGCGCATTTTCTCTGAGGATTGTAGCCAGGGGCGAACGAGGTCTGCGCGACGGGTGGCGCACCCATAAACGAAGGTGGCGCGTAAGCGGAAGGACGGGATACGGAATTGTCGGCGGAACGTTGTCGTAACTCTTGAACTGTAGCTTCAGTAGCTTGTAGACTGTTCATAGATAAATGTGACTGTGGCCCACTGGCTGAAATGAAGTTCATACCCCATCGGCCTCCGCGACGAGACATTGTGGAGCTAAAAAGCCGAATACTTTAAAGGAAATTGTAAAAATGGCGTACAGCATCTGTTGTAAGGTTATATACGATTTAAAAACAACTAAGTTGGATGCGAAATCAAAAGACACAAATCTATATTTTCTACAATCACCTTATGAACAAATAACGTCGATAGAGTAAGTAAGCTAGGATTTAATGGATTTTAATGTAAAAGTGTAAAACTGCTATTAGACATTTGCAATATTTTACACATTCTGCAGAAACAAATTTCGATCTAGAAAGCAAATCAAATATAAAAAACCAGCTCATCAGGCCAATTAATTAATGATTTAGTAAAGTGATCGGTGGATTATCTTACCATGGGGAAAGTTGTGATATTCGATTATAACCAAAAACTCCAATTACAAAAGACAACCTTGCAGATAATTTAGAATACAGGCTACAAAAAAATCGCGAAAATAATAACTAAATATTGCCGAAGTTGAACTTCCAGGCTGAAAAACAAATCTCAAAGGAATATACGAAAGGAAATTAACGAATAGCTAAATCGGCACATTTATTTGCTATTCTCATAGGCTTGCACGACCAAAGAAAAAAAAAAGCATTAATACAGGCAGCCCACTAATAAATACGGGAAGAAATAGCATGAGCGTTAAGCTCAACAATGGAGTACTGCTGCTTAATGTTATGAATCGGGTGGTGAGGCTGTGGTGTGGTGTCGCGACGGATCGGGGCGCAGACATATTGGACCACCTGGCCGCAGCCAATCCTGTGTGTCTCTGTGTTCCAATGGCATGCGAGAAAGATAAGCAGCCAACCAGAGAAGGACGCGACTGAGGAGCAATATATCAGGAGCGGCGTGGCCAGCGTGGTGGACTCGGACGCAAGGCGCCTGACGTGTGGCTCTGGCTTCTGATTGGTCAATAAAGCTTGTTCTGTTGTACCAGTCTATTTCCTATTAGGGCTCGGGTATTGTACAGAGGCGACAGATTAGGGCGCTAACATATTTTACACTGGCTTCAGCCAATCCTCTGTCTATCTGTGTTCCAATGGCATGCGAGGAAGATATGCAGCAAAGCAGAGAAGGACATGGATGAGATGCAGTATATAAAAAGCGGCGTGGCCACCGTGGTGGACTCGGATGGAAGGCGCCTGACGTGAGGCTCTGGCTTCTGATTGGTGAATAAAGCCTGTTCTGTTGTACCGGTCTTCTCTCTTTTAAGGCTCAGGTATTCCACATTGGTGGCAGCGGACACGTTCAAATTACGCGAATCGGACCCCAGCCCTTTCTCTTCTATGGTCATCAGAGGCAAGGACCCTTTAATGATAGCTGAATTTGTCATGGCGGCCATCCGATGTCCCATACCTTGTATCCATAGACATTGCCCGGGATTAGGACTGCTGCATCTGGAGAGGCATTGGCAACTCAGCGACGACGACCTGGACAGTAAAAGCCAGCTGGACTGCATCTGCGAATGGACATACGATGGATGAAGAGTCCTTCGTGTAAGTGGACAAGAGCAAATTCCCTCGTTAACTATTCGCTTGGGCCATTATCCTGCCAGATTTGTGGTGTTGGAGAGTTTTGAAATATATATTTCATCAATCATCAACAGTGCGTGGAGCCAAGCCAGAAACTGACAGCCTCACTCCTGAGGCAGAGGCAGTGTGGCCACGTCTGAAGGCGTAGACATATTGGACCACTTGGTCTAAGTCAATCCTCTGTCCCTCTGCGATCCAGTGGCGTGCGTGGAAGATTACCAGCCAACCAGAGAAGTACGCGAATGAGGAGCAGTATATAATGATTGGCGTAGCCAGCGTGGTGGACTCGGATGGACGGCGCCTGATATGTCCTTCTGGCTTGTAATTGGTCAATAAATTCTGTTCTGTTGTGGTAGTTTTCTTTATACTAGAGCTCGGGTATTATACTGTGGCGTCGTATAATGACGCAGACATATGCGACAATGCCGACCTCTGTCAACCATGTGTGACTGTGGTACGATGGCATGCGAGGAAGAAATGCAGCCTACCATTGACACACACGTATAGACGAGGAGTATACTGAGCTGTGTAGTAAACGAGGTTGACTTGGATGGACGGCGCTTGGCGTGTAGATCTAGCTTGTGATTAGACAAAAAAGCCAGTGCTGTTGTACTAATCTTCATTCTAGAGCTCGTGTATTATACAGTAGTTTTGGTGTCAGCATTTGGGTGCGGATATGTTTGGATCAGGCCAAGATTGACCAATCTTCTTTCTGTGTGCCTTAGAATTGCCTACTGAAAGGATTAGCAGCAAACTGTAGACATTGATAGAAAGGAAGCACTTGTAATTAGCGGAGTGGTTAGCATGCCAAGGATGGATGATATCTGACTGACGCCATTTGTTTTTTTTGTAAGTCAATAAATCCTGCTTGGTTTTGCCGATTTTTTTAAACCTTTGACCTTAAGGATTGTCTACTCCTGGCAACGGATATATTTACATAACGCAAACCGAACCCTTACCGTTGCTCTTCCTTAGTATGGAAAACAGAATAAAAACCCTTAAATGCTGGCTACAGTATGTCATGTTAGTCCACAAAATATTGCATAGACTAGGATTTGGACCAATGCATCTGAAGTGACATGAGGAAGTCATCGAAGACGATTAATTAATTCGAAGCCAGTTCGACTGCGAGTGGAGATGGAAATTGCAATGGATAAAGTATCCTTTCTTTAAGTGAACAAGAGCAATTGGTTCCGTCTGCAAAGTGGATGGGCACAAGCTATGTCAAGTGAAGGGTTTTGGGGAGTGTCAAAGAAGATACTTTATCACTGACATGGATATAGCAGTAAAGATAGCAAAGCCATAAGCTAACGGCATCATTTCTCTTGGTCGTGATGAAGTTTATTGCCATACAGAGGCATAGAAATATTGACCCGTTGAAGATTAATAGCCAATCAGAGATGGGAATGGACAAATAGCACTTTCAAATGAACAATGCAGACTGTATAATGGACTCGGATGGAATGTATCTAACGAAAGGTATTGGTTTATGGTTGGTTAATAGAGACTAATGTTATATCCGGGTTTTGATATTAGGGATCACATATTTTATCTGCAGAGGCCGCAGATATGCGGGAAAACGTTTGTAGCCCAGATAATATTCTGCCTCTGAGTTTTCATTTTTAATAACATGTTTAAATAGATGGGAAGCTCCTTAAGATGGCTGCGCCGTCCAGAATACAGTGCTTTTATCAATTCATATCTCTTATTAATTATTTTGAACGGACTCTATTCAAACTCAGAAAGGTCTTGGATAGGTTGCCCTCGGTGTCATGCAATTCGCTGCAACCTACAATGGCCAATCAAGGCTACTTGCATGGGCGAAGCGTAGTTGCTGAAGGGTGCGCTGTTAAATCTAATGAAGATTAAAAGGTTCTTTATAAGGCAGGTAAGTGCGGTACAGTATATTGAAATCAAATGTAGATAATTTCAGACATAATTAATATTTATGTTCTGCTATAAGTAAATGGAGAATTAACTAGGTAAATGCAAAACTGACCAAGGGAATCTAAATGTAGTATGTTTATTTGATGTTTTTTCTATCTTTAAGCAGACTGTGTGCATTGATTAATTCTATGAGCGCATGTGTTTATTTTTTTAACATTGTCATGTGTACAAATGTGTGTCGTGCTATAGTGAACTGTTACCGTTCCAAAAATATTGATCTTTTGACTCATGACTGCTACTTACTGCATGTTGTTATTAGTCATCTGTTAAGCACACGCAGTAATGAAAACACAGAGCTACGGTTAGCTTCTAGGACAACAGTAAAATACGAGTCCACTGTTACCCATCAGTCTTCTGCATCAGGCTGTTAACTAGTAGTGTTATGTAGTGCATGAACATGTTATGTTACTGAATGGTTGTCTGAATTGCTCGCCAGTGTGCATCAATAAGTGCCACATATCAATTGTTAAGTTGATACGGCTCACTTGATGTTATTAGACGCGTTATAGCACTTAAAAGTCCTACAAAACTAATAATCAGTAATAGTTATAAAAAAAGGCATTTTTATTTTCCTAAACAAATCGCACAATCAGAAGTGCAAAGAAATTAAATTAATGGTGCACTTAATTGCATATATTTAAAAAAGCATAAAGACATTAGTGTTTGGTCGTGAGTAACATAGTTACACCTAGTGTAAGCAAAAGATGTACGTATCCAGATTTTCAGTGCTTAAAGCTCTTCAAATTTGCAGGAATTAAAACGTTATTTAAATGAGTTAAAATCTGATGATTTTTACTATCTAGTTCATATAGCTAAGAATTGCTTATAGCAGAAAAACTTATCTTGCTTAAAAAATTTTCGATTTATCTCAAGTGAATTCAAAACAACTTCCACCGGTTTATTTTCTACAAAATTCTGAGGTGAAACTTCCGAATGCTTGGAAGTCATGCATCACTTAAACACCTGCTTAATCGTCAACGAGCCTCTATGCGTACCATGTAATAAATTGGAACTTTGACAATGACACAATTAATGACGATGATTTTATTCCAATGAATTCAACAAGTTTGCACTGTTGTACTCCAATTGGGTATAAGTCTAACCAATAGCCTTATTATCACTTTTCGAGAATCCAGGATAGTCCAATCAGAAGCGGAATATCTGGCACGGCAGTGTCTATGCGCACTTTCGTTTGTCGCGTCTCCGTTGATTTGTTGTTACTAGTTGCGCATCGGATATCGCCTAGGCCTTCGGCGAATCGTAGTTTTTATCACCACTGGTGTAACAATATCTTCAACTCCTACAAAAGAAATACGTTTTTAACTCTTAAAATGGCAGAGAAGGAAAGTATTTTGGCATCACTGCGTGCAAGCGTTTGTGCTCAGGTACTAAATATGTGCAATTCTACCGATTAAGGGTGAAATTCTGAGGCGTCTTAAAACAGAAGGTGCAAGCGAAACGAAAATTAAACAAGCTGTAGTGGAGCTGAAGTCAAGAAAAAAAGCGCTTGAGGAGATGGTGAGTTTTATTACTTTGTCTAATGTTTAGGAGCTGCAGCAAAATAGAACTTACCATAAAATTGATCGAGAAAAGCTTGAGGACTTGTTAAAACAGAAGTTTGTATACGACCAGTCCTTCTCAATATATGGAGGTAATTGCAAATCGGTCCTTTAGATTGGATTCTTTTTTATGCTGTGATTTTTTCCTTTTTCACTCATGTAGGTGTCCAGGGTTTCTATGATTACGGCCCCACAGGCTGCGCCATTAAGGCTCATCTTCTTTCTGCTTGGCGCCAATTTTTTGTCCTTGAAGAGCAGCTTTTGGAAGTTGATTGCTCCATTTTAACACCCGAATGCGTCCTGAAAGCTTCTGGCCACTTGGATCGCTTTACAGACTACATGGTTAGAGATGTGAAAAGCGGCGAATGCTTTCGTGCGGATCATCTTGTTAAGGCCGCTCTTGAATCTAGGCTGGGTAGCAAGGGTACTACTGACTCTGAAAAGGAAGAAATTGGCGGGATCTTGTCGCAGGTAGTTACTTTGACAACTCAGTCGAACAAAGAATTAATCTTAGCCATTTAATTGACAATTACTTTTTAGCTAGATAATTTTGGTGCTGACGAGTTGAATGATTTGATAACTCGCTTCGGTATCACCTCTCCCACCACCAAAAATCCTCTCACTCCTCCTCAAAAATTTAACCTTATGTTTGCTACTTGCATTGGCCCAACTGGCCAACATCAAGGGTAAGTTGAATTGCTTTTTCGCGTTTATTTTTTTGTTGTGCCCCTTTTTAAACCCCTTAATGGGGCAAATTATTATGCTTAAACCCCCAACAAACATTTGGAATTGGATCTTAGAATAATTTAATGATCACCCATGGTTGCGTACATTTACTAAGTGGAGTTTTCCGTCTGCTGGTAGGAAATTTTGTATTATAGCATTTTTTTAAAATTATTCGTTAGGCTTCTTTCGTTGAGTTCACTCAGGTGTATACGCTGGTTTGTCTTCTCGGGTGCAAAATATTGTTTGTTCCGTTCAAATTTCGAACGTTAATATTTTGAATTATTTTTCATTCCTGTGGTTCATGGCATAGCTACAACCTTTTAGGTATCTAAGGCCTGAAACAGCCCAGGGAATTTTCGTGAATTTTCAGCGGTTGCTTCAATTCAACCAAGGTAGACTTCCATTTGGGGCTGCTCAAATCGGTACTGCGTTTCGAAATGAAATCAGTCCACGGGCTGGCCTAATTCGTGTACGCGAGTTTACAATGGCAGAGATTGAGTATTTTGTTGACCCAAATAGCAAATCCCACCCAAAGTTTGCAATGTACGCTGACCTGAAGCTTCCACTTCTCTCTGCATGCGACCAAATGGATGGAAAGTCAGTTCGCGAAGTCACCCTTAAGGATGCTGTTGCACAGGTTAGATGTTATTCCTTTTTGACGTCACGCATTTTTTAAATCTTTTCAGATTTACAGCCTCAACGCCTTCCATTTAAAGGCTGGTCTAATTATTACGTTTTCAAAGTGATTTCAGACGTTCGGATTCCCCCAGTTTAAGAATAGTAAATGATAGGCACAAGGAATTCCAGGAAGACTTTCGAGTATATGTCGACCCCTGTGTAGACGTCGTTGATTTACCTTCATGGAAATAGTTCGGGTTTAAGCTTAGGTATCATTCTAAATTTTTTTTGAAGGGTATAATCGCCAATGAAACTCTCGCCTATTTTATGGCCCGTATCTTCCTCTTTCTCTATATGGTGGGCATAAAACCGGATCGTTGTCGGTTTCGTCAACACATGAGAAACGAGATGGCTCATTACGCCTGCGATTGTTGGGATGCCGAGTGCCTGACAACCTATGGATGGATTGAATGTGTTGGGTGTGCCGACAGAAGTTGCTACGACCTCACACAGCATAATAAAGCCACTGGCGCTCGTCTTGTCGCCGAGAAACCACTTTCTGAACCGGTGGGTTCCTTGTCCAGTTGTGGTCAAATTACAAAATCGGTTTTGTGGTATTCCGTGTTGAGTGGATTTTTTTCTTCGCATTTCCATGTGTTCATTTCTAGCTTATTCCTGTCGCGTGTTTTAACTTATCCTGCAAAATCTCCCGCTACCTAAACCCTTTTATGTAATTAGTATCTTTTACCGACTTGTCTTCGTATAGGTGGAGTGGTTTATGTCATTCATGTTATATTTTTACCATTCAAATGTTTTAAGTCGAATGCTGTGCCAAGCGTGTACGACAATTTAGTTCTCGCTTGAATCCACTAATAGTTGTCAACTGTTGGATGTTCTGAGTATGCTTTCGCAGTCGATATGAGTAATTTGTTTAAAAAAAATGTTCTAGTTTTCGGTTTTCAAGGGATTGATTACGCTTCTGTAATGTAGGAGGAACTAAGTTTGTTTACTACTTTGCGTCTTTCGTGTAAAACTATGGCTTACTGTTCAGAGATCTACATTTTCTTCATACTTTTGATATTTATTAGAAAACGATACACAAGCTACAATGTGTGCCTGATAAAGGAAAGTTTGGGAAGGCATTTCGAAGTGAAGCTGTTCTTGTCATAAAAGTCCTTGAGTCATTTTCGTCTGAACAAATTCTCAAGATGAGGGATGAACTAGTGTCATCAGGGTAAGTTTCAACCTAACACTTGCTCAATCTTTCGATTATTACGACTTTTGGGACGTGTTCTTCTTTAAATGCTTTTCGTAGATGCCATGTGCAGTCATTATCACATTAGGATTTTATAAATCCTGTACTCCAATCGAAATCCACAACTAGGGCTGTCTACTTTGTCTCACATCCGCTTTATTTTTCAACTGTGTAGTAGCGTGTTTTATGGAAGTGTTTTGCCACATCCACAGCAATTAACACGAAATTAAACCAGTATTACTCATGACGTTCGACGTTTGACAGTCAAAAATGCTTTGTTAGGCAGAATCCCTCTTCCTAGTAATCAATGCATTTACTAACCCGCACAGCGTCATCTTATCGAACTTGATGTGCGCTCTTAGAAATGATGATGGTATTCTAATGGTTATCTTTTGTCCTTAGGAGGTGCGCCGTGCCCGTTAATGACTCAATTTTCGAAATTACTTCTGATATGGTTACAATTAAAGCGGAGGAAATTCGCGTGCACGGTGAGCGCTGATGATTTTCCTTTTCTCTTCATGGCCAATTCTCCTTATTGAGTTCTTCCCGTTCCAGTTGAAGAAGTCGTGCCAAGCGTTATCGAACCCTCCTTCGGTATTGGTCGAATCATGTACGCCATCCTTGAGCAGAATTTCTGCACCCGACAAAATGATGAGCAGAGAACTGTACGTATCAGACTAAACGGTCCTGAAATCGCTTTAAATTTTGGCCTCGATGTTTTGTGGGTTGTAATATGAAGGGTAAATTTGAAAAGGCACATGGTGTCCTTTTGGAATAAGTATTCGTTTTTGGCAGTAATTGGCAGAGTTGTTAAAAGCCTGAAAACATAAATCACTCGAGGATTTCCCACAAAATATTGCTGCTGTTTTGAGTTGTGAGTTGTATTTTTTGCTACAAACCCGATTCTGTTTCCTGGTATATCCATACTTTATAGATGTAGCACGAACTACAGGCAATGGCTGGCAAGTACACAAGTCGGCAACCTACTATCGGTAGTCTTTTGGGAAACAAGTCAACGATATTTTTAATTCAATTGTTAAAGTTGTTCTTGTTAAAAATCAACGTTTGGCCTATGTGGTTTTGTTCATGTGAATACAACAAAGACATTTGCTGTTTTCAGTTATAATATTATTGGTGCTACTTGAGGTACAGCAGTATCGATCGTGAGTAGAGCGTTATACTTCGACCTTTGCAGTGATCGCTAACTTCCTAATGTGTTCTTGCACTTTCCTTTACATAGTTCCTCTCTCTACCACCCATCATAGCACCATACAAGTGTTCCGTTCTGCCTCTGTCTTCCCATCCTGACTTTGTACCGTTTGTACGACACATCTGTAAGTGTATGAAGCGTAATATTTAGACCACCCAGACACGTGGCGCAAGTTAACTTGGGCAAAAATTCATACATTAAGTAAATGTATCATTATGCCTAATTAGTGTAGTTCCTGAAGAAAATGATTTACATAACCTAGAAATTACCCATTGCGTTAGCATATAGTGCGGTAAAGCTAACCTCATGGTCTGTGAACTCCCAAGATCCTTCAACATCCTGTTACAACCTTTTTTGGATTTAAAATTTCACCATTAGTATTGCAGTTTCAAGGCTAAATACCTTCGTTGTCGAAAGTTAGGGATGAACCATTTACTACCTAAAACTACAAGTGTGGAGCTTGCTTTCATCAGTATATCACTGCCAATAAAAATGCCGGCCTGTAGTGTACGTTCAGTATTTTTCAGCTGAACAGTTGACTCGAGTGGGTATTTCACACCGTGTGGATGAAAGTGGAGGCTCCATTGGACGTCGGTATGCACGAACGGACCAAATTGCTATACCCTACGCCATCACCGTAGATTTCGATACCGTTAATCAGAAACCTCCATCGGCTACCCTGCGAGAACGGGACACTATGAAACAAATCCGGGTACCGGTAAGTATGACAGTTCCTATTCCAATGTCGTTAAATGTTCGCAGATTCCTCTACACATTGTTTTAGCACTTGTCTCTAAACTTATTTGATGTAAACTTTGTGCAGAGTAAATTAGTTTTCCGATTTTGTGAAGTGTGCACGTTCGTTATTAAATTTTTTTGTTCACCTCCAGACGTACACGTCGGTGATTTTGCATGTGCAAGAGTATATATGAATGTCAACAAGGTACCCATATGGTTTTACGATACTGCAAGCTCAAGGTGGTTTGTAAGGGTATGGGAACAAATACCGTTGTCGATATAATTAAAGCTAGTAAAGGGAACTCAACCATTTTGAAAATCGACAGAAATCGTATCAGATGTATCGCATAGGCCGAATTTCATGCATTATCTTCCTGTTCCATTTTGGAATCCACAGTCCTTTTGATAAGTCTCTTCATCGTTGGTAAAATGACGTGATCATCCACTTAACAAAAGTCGAGTATTAGTTTCTTACCGTTTCAATTAATCGTCTCCGCAAATGTCGGTGTCGCCGAATCCTAAAGTAAATAAGTAGAAGTTTGCATTGTGTGCAAATCGGGAACCGTATTTTAATGTACACACCGTTTGGGTTCTGCAAAAAATATACATTTTGATTTTACTTCAATTCCTAGTTCGAACGCTATTGTGTTTTGTTGAATTGGATAATCTGAAGGGTTCGGAATTTTTTTTAACAATCTTAGTAAAACTAACTTAAAGTTACTGGGGTTTAAAAAAGAAGCAGAACCTTCAAAAATGAATTTCGGCCTGTGCTTATCTGAGCAGGGAGCTTTTGTTGCCAGTGGTTTTAATCTCATAGGTGGAATTGACGTGGCCTATTTTTGAACCCAACACTTTATTTCCACATTTATTTTGGATGTTATAAAATAATGGTCACTGCCAAACCACTTTAACAATGTCAGGCGAAAATCTGGTGTGGGTGTATTTTTTTAATATTCGTTTTATTCCTTGCTTGGATAATCTATCGAACTCAAACTGTACCACACCTAACTTTTCTGTATTTTACCTCTTAAATATCACTTTTTTAGTATTATTTAATTTGTCCTCCACAGATTGGAGATTTACCCGACTTAGTCAGCGATTTGGCGAACGGTATAGTTTCCTGGAGTGACGCTCTCGCAAACTATCCTATTTTTGAACAGCAGGAGGTCAGCAAGTGATCGACTGCAACTATTTTGGATGTTTACCGGACGTTCCTAATAAAAATTGAGGTTTAAAGTAGAGTTTCTATTTCCTTTGGTCAGGGCTTTGTCAGGAGTACCATCAATGATTCTACGCTTCTGCATAAACTTTGTGGGCCAAACTAATTGCACTGTCATCGTCTAATTTTCATTAAGTTATACGTACAATTATCAAATTAGAAAGTACTATGAGTAGCTTGTTAAGTACTAGGTGAATCTACCAAAATGTGATTTGTGATCGTTACAAATGCCATGTGACATTTAGCGCGCTTGAGCTCGTCCGTCTAACGCTGATAGCTTGCACAACACTTTTCTACCAATAACTTTGTGCGTATTCTCTACTTGCATCACGCTTGGGCCACCACAAAGCTCGAGAAACCATCAGAAAACGAGTACTTCCTGAGCTACGTAAACTCCACCACATGCACGTTCAATCATCGGTTATTGTCAAAAGCGTGGAAAGGATTTTCGCCGTTCATCCCTTTTAGTTAGTTGTCATTCTGCTTAAGGCCTTGACTTACCTAGTTATCTTTTCAAATTTATCATCGACTCTCACTTTATCTAAATTCTCTAGTGTTACAGTTTGGCGTCAAAACTTATTTAGTAACTAAAATTAGCAGGCGGCTCATATGTGCCTGTTTCCAGTTCTGCTAATTAATAATGGTCACTGTATTGTTTCCTCACACGATATTTTGAGAGGGTAGATGAGTAAATACTTAACAAAACTATATGTTTGTGTCCCGTTGCGATTGATTAGGTGGTTGCTTGGAAGCTTATGTACGCATTGAACAAATGAAATATTCTGGCTTGTAGTACTTGTGACATTTACCATTTAGGCTTGTCTCCTACCATTGCCCCTAGAAGTGTTTTTCGAGGCAAATGGATCATATCTTACCAAAAAATATTATCCACAATTTTTTTCCATGACAAGTTTTCGTAAATAATTCATAATCCTATTAGTCTTTAAACCCTTTATAAAAAAATGGAATATTTGCTTACCAAAACGGATTTTTACTGCCCTACTTTACTATAATTTAAAAAGGAGGTGAAGATGTGGTAAAAAAACACATTCGAGCAGAATGTTCGATTTCTTTATAAATGGATTTTCCAAGGGCACAGACGAATGATTACTTCTGTGCTATAATTGTACCCTTGGAAGTAGAGTCAGAGCTATGTATAGAGTTGAGTTCTGCAACTTCAAGTCAACTACAAGGTAATTTTTGTGAAAATTTTTCGTTAATCATAGTCGCATGTCCAATGCTTAACAGCGCACATGGTTTTTGGTATAGCTACTTCGGTATTCGAGTAACTGGATAATTTGTTGGGGCTTTGTACCTAATTGTGGGGTTGACCTCGACTTGATGGTGTGTTGTGCTGTCTAGGCTGTTTCAATAGTATAGCCAGTTATGGTGCGTTGTCCTTTTACAATCTCGTTACTTGTCAAATGATCATAGAACATTTGACTACAGGGAGATGAAAGAATACCGCGTTTCAAGGTCGGGCGTCGGTAGTTTCTGTTTATCGCTGGAAATCGTCCGATCGGTAACCGCTTCACAGTAAGTGATGGTGGAATAACCAATGTGTCTGTTGGTAGATCAGGACTAGTGTTTGACCATCGTGCCGTGAAAAAATGCCAGTATACCTGTTGGCTAGTCAGCTGGCAGAACGCATAAAGGATGCGACGAATTTGTTTGTTAACTAAAAATAATGATTACACTGCAATGTCTTCGTAAAAAGAGAAAACTTCAGCCGTTGAAATGTTTAAATAAATGGAATAGTACCATTACTTGTAAAAGTTGCCTTTGAAGATAGACTAGAATTTTGTTACCGATGCGTAGAGGCAGAATTATTACCAATCCTGCCTGACGGAAAAAAAGCCAAAGACGATGAAAACCTAGAAATTAGCTAGCTCAACAGATAGGAAGAGTTTGTAGCTAATATGCAATTAGTAAATTTGCATATTTACAAAAGTTCGAAGCTGAATAAAAGCCGAGTTTTTTGGGAAATCAAAAAGTTCATGTTGAAATAAAAAAGTGGCATGATTGGAGGTGGGAGAGAAACGTCAGTCACTAAGGTATGAACTGACGGCCAATAAAATTATCCAGGAAACATTCGAACAATTTATATGTTACATGTTGAGCACTCACAGACCTAACATAGAAGAAAGTGGCAAGCATGTCTCTTGTGAGTTCTCACCATTTTAATTTTGAAGAAAGTTAATAGATTGAAACAGCGTTTATATTACTTCTGTATACAACACCTGTTACCAGGGTTTTAGTCAAAATATATGTGACAGAAATAGCGCCATCTACTTTCGTTATTACTGAGTTATGCTGTCAAATTATTTGAGAAATCGCTGGAAATCCAAATAAAAAATAATGACGATAAAGACATTTTGCTGCCTGTCCAGATATTTACAAGACAAAATTAATGCAAATGATACGTATTAATACCAGCTCAAAATACTTATCAATGGCAACTCTAGACAAAACTTACGTCAACATTAGGGTCTTTTTATGTCGTGAAGATAATATGTGCTAATTGATCACATCAAAGCTTCACCATCAATAACTCAGTGATTAAATTTGAGTTATTGAAACATCAGTCCTTTTGCTATCAAATTTTTTGTCAGTGAAAAAATTGTTAATTATATCCGAGTTAGATAGTTTACTTAAATAATTATTATGATTTAACTTTAAGAGAGAGCAAAGATAAATATCCTTTTTCCTTGGTTTGTGAAGTTGAAATATACAAATGCACTAATTACTACTGTAGAGGTCGTTTCATTCATCAGCGCGAAAAGCGATTGCGCTGGTTTTCCTTGGCCGTAAGTGTCTTGGGGTTTGTTCATCTCTTTGTCAAAAAATATTCCCATCAGGAAGCTGTTAATAATGATTTTAAAAATTTTGCATTGCATAAAGTCCTTTTAAACTGTAGTGTTATTTTCCTTGATTAGTTTCAGCACGTTAGATTTGCAGTATGTACACATATATATCTGTATATGGTGGAGGTCACCAAAAAAGTGCAGCTTATATAGGAATCAAGCAACCTTCATCTCACATTTTAAATTAATAATATGCGATTTTGTGTAAGGTGCCGCCGTTTTTTATACTTAGTTCATGCCTTTTTTCGTTGCCTACCATTCTGTTTGCCAGAAGGTGTTTGAGGTAGTCCTTAGTTTCAGAAACGAATTTTTTAAAGTCTTTTTTAAGTGGTCCTCAACTTTTTCAACATATCAGTTCTAAGCACCATTATGTTTTATATTTTACTGTTATAAATTGACAAGAACTTTGTACGCAGGCTTAAGTCATCATGGTAGGTTATGTTTTTTAAAAATAAGTTGTGCTTCTTTTTTGCTGCCCCGATGATAGCGGTTTTGCTTAAAATACCCTTACTTAGTTGGGGATCACTCTATTTTCACCTTGTTCTTTTGTTCCCAATATCCTGAGACATTCCCTTTGGCATTTTTCCTAGCAAACTCCATACACATGTTTAGCACCTCGCCTACATTCTGAATTTTTAGTCACTTAGTTATGTTACATTTTAGCCTCCTTTTGCACATTTGCAATTAAAAAGGTCACATAACTAGTTTAATCTAATTTTTGGGAACTTTTTTCTCGAAAACCCCTCGAAGCTGAATAGTTTTATCGTATGTTAAGTCAACATCTCTTTTTAAGTTTCTAGCTAAGATTTTCTTATTTATTATAAAATAAAAACGTGGGGTTAGCCACACAATATCCTTCGTTGGGGTTGGTTCGATTTGCGGTGCCTACTGTGGATTTTGTGCCTTTGTTTATGTGAAAGGAACAACGTCAGTGAGCTAGATTTTGCCATCCTTTGTTACTACAGCTTGACATTGTAAAATACAGCCCATAGTTGTCAAACAATTTAAACGTTGTCAAACTTTCGTAGTACAAAATACTCATGCAGTCTAACGATATGTTGGCCGCAGTATTCATCCCTATATTTTTGCTTCCCAGGACTTTTTGGCTTCCGTCGGTTTTCAACTTCCTATTGATGTGCACTTCGTAATAATTGTTCTTCCTCTTTTTTATATATATAAATACTGTTCTTGGTCTTTTGAACGTACTGTCTGCATCGAATTAGTCGCACCTAGGTTTTAAATGCGCCAGGTTCTTTATATATTAGAGTGCTGATTAGGGTTGTTTCTTCCTTCCATTTATAGTAGATAGTTGTGCTTTTGTGCCTTAAAGGTGTTGTCG